CTTCCTGGTGGGCTGGTGGCTGAGTTGCCTACCCACAAAAGAACAGCAGTGGTAGCAGGGTCCTCCCAGGTCCACCAAGCCCCCTCTGCTTCTTGTCCTTAGTCCATCCAGCCCACAGCCAACCTGGACCAGACCGATGACCTGGTGTACCTCAATGTCATGGAGCTGGTGCAGGCAGTGCTGGATCTCAAGAAGGAGCTCTGCCAGCTGCCCCCTGAGGGCTATGTGGTGGTGGTGAAGGTGAGAGCCCAGGCAGAAGGGACCCGAGGAGGTGGGGCTGTCACCCCTGAAGAAGGGGGTGGTGTCTCCATGGTTCCCATGGTCAAAGGGAAGTTGGTTCCTGGAAACCCCAAGAAGTGCTCTGGCCAAAGCAAAAGGGCTTTCTGGAAAAGAAAACAGCAGGTGGTAACAGCTGCCCTGCGCCTTCCTCCCCTCAGAATGTGGGGCTGACTCTGAGAAAGCTCATTGTGAGTGTGGATGATCTCTTGCCCTCCTTGCCATCATCTTCGAGGACAGAGGTAGGTGTCCTATCCTAGATGGTGTCGAATCTGTCACTTCTCCCCGTACCTCCACCTGTTCCTAGTTACATTTCTAGCAGAGGCCCCTGAGCCACCTGGGCAGCTCCATTTCTGTCCATCAGGAGACTGCACAGCATGTCTGGGCAGCAACCACCAGAGGGCCGAGAGGCCCCCAGGAGCTTGGCCAGCTTCTGGGGTGAATTTCCTATCGGGTCTCAGATTGCCATGAATTCTCATTGAATGTGGATGTGCAAGAGGGCACCCCTGCCTCCTCTCCCCACCCTTTATCCTTTATCTACTCACTGGACCAAGGTCAAGGTGATTGTGTCATTGAAATCCTGTCAATGAAGCCCTGGGAATCCTGGTGTTCTGCTGACACAGCCCTGTGATGGCCACCAGGGACCTAGCCTGATCCCTGGGACCTGTGAACGCATTATCTTACAAGGCTAAAGGGGGTTGGGGGATGTGATCAGTGTGAGGCTCTTGAGAGGGGGAGATTATGTGGATTACCCAAGTGGGCCTGTGTCCTTATTAATGGGCAGCGGGCGGAAGGTCAGACTGAAGGGCTGTGATGACAGAAACCAAAGTCAGAGGCAGACTGCTGCTGGAAGGTGCAGCTTCAACACAGGGAAAGGCAGGGAACACCCTGCCCAGCTCTAGAAGGAAGGCAGTCCAGTCCGCACCCTGGTGTTAGCCTCATTGGGCCTGTTCAGAAGTCTGACCTGCAGAACTGTAAAGGAATGACCTGTGCTGCATGGAGCTGCTAGGTTTGTGGTCATTTGTTACTGCAGCTGTAAGAAGCTGATCCAGAGCCACTGGACATTTGTCGATTGTCCGTCTGGAAACCAAATGTGGACCTCCCATGGAGCCCTGGGATCCTTTGCCTCTCACGGTCAGCCATCTGCCACATGATCCATGTGGCATGTGGCCCATCCCATCACCACCCTAACCATCTGCCTGCTCAAGGCAAGACAGAGCAGGGACACTTGGGACAATTCTCAACCTGCCTCTGGGTGGCAGCAGTAGCCCACAGAGGCACCCCATCTAGGCAGGTACCATCAGAGAGCTGAGATGGCCACCAGGGACCTAGAGAGCTTTAGGGCAAATTTCCTGAGGAGAGGTCAGGTGTGATGTGATAGCTCTGTATCCTAGGGATGACCATGTACTCACTCGCTCATTCAACAAACATCTCTTGTGTTTCATGTGCTCAGTGTGCTAGGCTCTGGGCATGTGGTGGTTAAAAAAAAATCCCAGATCTCTTGATTTGATGGTAGACAGTTACAAAACGGCACAGGGACATGGACCCTGACCGTTCACTTGAATGCTGGTGGTGTGAAGGGTTGTTGCGACCGGATGGCGTATGGGGTGGGGTCAGGCAATGCTCACACATGATTGGCTAGGGGTTGGGATGCCCACTCCAATCTGTATGGGGGGCTGGATTCAGCCAGGCCTAGACCCACCTTGTCCCCAGGGACTTCTGACTACCTCAGCCAATACCCTTCCCCACGGCCAAGCACCTCGCCTCTCTGTGTGCTTTCCCTACAGATTGAGGGGATACAGAAGCTGCTCAACAAGGACCTGGCAGACCTTATCAACAAAATGCAGCTGGCGCAGCAGAATGCCATGACCTCCCTGAGTGAGGAGTGCAAGCGACAGATGCTCACGGCCTCCCACACCCTGGCCGTGGACGCCAAGAACCTGCTGGATGCCGTGGACCAGGCCAAGGTCCTGCCAATCTGGCCCACCCGCCTGCAGAGTGACCTAGGGTGGGGGCCACCCGCCTGCGTCTTCCACCCCCACCCGTCATGCACCTCCCCTGCCTTGCCTTTAGTCACATGGTCTTCTCAGGGAAGGCCCGGGGTGAGGGGTCCTTCCCTCACCACTTTGCAGGACCCCCCCCCCCCCCCCCCCCCCCCGGACTGTGCTCTTCAGGCTGCAGCTGGATGGAGGGGACTCTGGATATGGACGCAGGGTGGGTGTGACAAACATGGTTCTGAGGTCACTGTCGCCGCCAGCTACCCCTCCCACCCCAACCTGGGTTCTGGAGCCTCATTGGGGTCACAGTAGTGTCCCTAGCAGCCAAAACGGCTTATGCATGGACATGGCGGGCCCATATTGGAGCCAAGCTATTTCTTCTCCTTCCTCTTCAGCCCTTGGGGATCCCCTGATGCACAGAGGGGCCATGGAAGGGCTTTAGGGGTGGGGGGGTCAGGAGGCTTGTAAGATGGGGCACGGGCTGGCTTTCTTGTACAGTGTATATTCAAATTTATTTAATGTGAGTTTGGTCTGGACTGACAGCTGGGTTCCCTCCTGATGGGGAACCTGGGACACAGTCCAAGAACAAACTGATTGGGAATTCTGGCACAGGACACTGTGTTGTTATCACACCAAGTATCAGGGGAAGGAGTAGAGAGACAGTGGCCAGGACTGGACTTTGGACCACAATCTGCTCTCTCCCTGGCAACCTCCTCTCTTTTTTCCTTTACCTTCCCTGCCTTTTCTTACTCCTCCTCTTCTCCCTCTACCCCCTTTTCTCATCTGATCCCTTCCTTTCTCAAGTGTTTGTGTTGAGCCTTCTCTTACCTTCTTTCTATCAGATTTGTGGTTGAATTAAACTCGTACCATTTTCTTTGTGGTTTGTTGGACTGTGGTGTTGGTTTGATGTGCCCTTTGTGGGAGGAGGCTAGCCATGAACCACAGCCAGGCAAGAGATGGATGGTGTTCTTTTGGGTGCAGATCAAGGGCTGATGGATGCTGGGCCGGTGGCCAAGGAAAGCACCTGGCAGTGGGACAGGTGTGCTCCAGCCCTTTGTCCCAACTGGTCAGTAGGGTAACTAACTCAGGGGCTGCTTTCCAGGAGGGACCCAGGGCAGTTTCGTCCATGTGGCATCTCTTTCAGCTGCACCCAGACCACTTGGGCTCTGGGGGGGTCACACAGCTGAAGGAGCAGCAGACTTGGCTTTATTTAACTACTTTACTCACATGCAAGATGGATGGACAGAAAACATGAACAACACAGATCTCCATACTGTCCCTGCAGCAGGAGATCACCTCTGGGAGCCTCAGTTAGGCAGAGAGACAGGGGGTGGGGGGTGGGGGCTACAGAAAGAGGAGGAATGAGGCCAGAGGGCCATGGAGTGGGGGGGGTCTCAGGAGAGAACTGAGGAGCAGGGCCTGGGCCAGGGTCACAGGTAGGTAGGTCTTTCCAGATGTGTGAAGGAGTGTTGTGTGCTGAGGAGGAGGAGGTTCAGAAGGACAGGACCCCAAGATGGAGGGGAGTCAGCAGTTTGCCCTACTCTGCTTCCTGCTTGGGGCTCCACACTGTCTGGACAGCCTGGTGTAAACCTCTGGTGGCTACTGTGGTCCTGCCCTCAGGGGCTGGACAGAGCTCAGGAGAGGCTCGACCCACCAGGCTCTGCATTCCTCAGAGCAAGAACAAGCTGCACAGAATGGCCCAGAGAAGGTCAGACATGGTGAAGCTCTGGGGAGGACAGGAAAGGCAGGCTGGAGGGACACCCTGAGGGCACTGGCATCACCCAGCAGGCGTGGAGCCAAAAATGTTCAGTGTTTCCCCTCCACCACACACAACATGGAGTGCCGATGCCCCTCACCCTGTGCTGTGCTAGGTCCTAGGGAGAGAGAAACTAAAGGGTCCCTGCCTGGGAGGAGTTCAGAACTGAAGGAGCTTGAAGCAGAGATCCCCAACTCCAGAGAGGTGTGCTGACCACAGACTACTGGGACCAGGGCACTGTGGAAGAACAGCCAGGGATGGCCTTCACGGTTTGCTCACTGCAGGTTCATGGGCACACGGCGCCCACAGCAGCAGCTCTCAGCTCTGGCTGCCTCTCTACAAGGAAGAGGGAGTCATGATGACTCAGGGAAGCCCAGGGTGTGCTGAAGGTGCTTTGGGGGGAGGGGAAGGCCTCGCTCCACTGGCCCCCCCACACTTGCTCCCTGCTCCTTCTGTAAAGTCCCTTGTTCCTTGGCTGCTACACCACACACCTCCAAGACCTGCAAACTCACACTGAACTACTTCCTCAGCCTGGTTTAAAGAGCCCAACCTGCACTACCAGCCTCCCCAACCCTGGCCTGGGGGTTCCCCTGGGAACTTTGGGCTCATTCTGAAATCTAGACCATTGCTCATAGACCCTCCACCCCTGAGGCAGCCTCCCCTTCCCCCATGTGCCCCTCCCTCAAGGCCATATTGTTTATCCTTGTGCTAGTCCCACCCCTCTGAAGGGCAGGGTCCTCCTTCTTTTCTAACTCCTCTGCTTGCTAATCCTGGCTTTCTGTCCAGCAGATTCCCAGTTCAGTAGCATCACAGTGAGTGCTCCAGGAAGACCTTAAGAGCTGGTGCTCTCTCCCCAGAAGCACCGCAGGCAGATGGCGCTGGCCCAGAGGGCACTCTAGAGGCAGCTGCAGTTAAAGGTGGTCATTGCTGGCTGGCAGGACTGCCTTGGAGCCAACATAAGGGACATGACATCAGATCATTCCAGCCAGGAACGGAGGCAGAAAGAGCCCCAGGGTTCCCAGGAAGCAGACGATGATAAAGAGCCAGAGGAAGATCCTGTCGATGACCATGGCAACACACTTCCAGTCTTCTCTCACCTGCGGGAGAAATGGGCTCACAGTGAAGCGGCCAGGCCTCAAGAAGTGTTCCTCTCATGCTCAGCCCCTGTAGGGACAACCGCAAGGCAGCAGCAACTGCCCCCTGAGACCCAAGGGGAAGCTAAGACTGGCACAGGTGCAGAGATGGGGTGGAAGGAGAAACAGAGCTAGCCGAAGCCCCATACCACCCTCTCCTGTGTCCCACCTATGTCAGCCTCCACACTGCCGGAGCTCAGCAGGTTCGGGGCAAAGGGACTAGAGGGACACATAGAGGTGCTGGAACCATCTAAGGAGATGGACTCCCAGTGGCTGCAGTGATTTCAGAGCAGAGAAGGTAGTGGGTGGGGTAGGTGTGACTCAGGGCAGGTTAGTGGGTGGGTGGGCTTTGTGCAGCTTGGACTCCCAGCCCAGGCCAGGGATGGATGCCTAGCTACTCCCAAATTAATGATTAATTTTCTCATTCACTCATCAAGTCTACCCAGTGATACTTTCCAGCCTTTCACCCTTCCCTGAGTTGATAAGAAAGTGCTGATGCTGAGTGCTAGATAAGGCAGAGGCTGCGGAGAGGCCCAGCCTCGTACAACCAAGAATCTGCAGGGTTTGTGGTTGACTCATGAGCTTCACAGAGGGCCTCATGAGCAAAGAGGAGAGGGGACCATCTAGCATAAAAGAGGAAGGCCACTGCCACAGGGGGCTAGCCCACCAGGCTCTCCTAATGCCCCCTCCACCTCCCATCCCTGCCAATTCCTGTAGGTAGTGGCATAAGCATGGCACTGCAGAGTCCACATCTAAGCATGTCTCTGCTCACTGTCTCCCAGTTAGGCTGAGCAGGGACATTCTTGACCTACTGCCATCAAGTGTCCCAAGAGACAGCTAAATGTTCTCTCACAATTGATTCCAGACTCTTTGGAGCCATGAATGGGTGAGGCCAGCCCTCAGGGAGGGGACCAGGTTGGTCTAGCTACCACCTTGAGGTGGGAGGGTTCCCTGCTAAGCTGGTAGGGTCTCCCAGGGGAGGCCATCACCCAGATCTCACTCACCAAAGAGTCAGCATCCTCAGACTGCAGGTGGTCAGCAATATAGTGCATACCTTCCAAGGCTTTCTGTATGCAAGGTGACAGCAAGATCTCAGGCTCCCCAGAGGGAGCCTCGGCCCTGGGCCCTGAGGTCTGTGGGTTCAGGCATCTGTGGCCATAGATGATACCCATGGAGGGGGCTGGGCAGCCTGCACACACCCATCTGCCTTTCTCCTCCTCCTCCTCCTCTGCCTCCTCTCTCTCCTCTGCGTCCATGTTGGTCTCCAACCAGTAACAAGATGGGCCGAGTTTCAGGCCTGGGGAGTCGTGTGGCTCCAAAGGAGGCCGGTTCATCAGCAGCCACCGGGGCACATGTCCCAGCAGGGCCACCCGCACCCAGCGGGGTATGCTGTGGGTGCTGGGGGAGCTGTGGTGCACGTTGAGCACGAAGAAGACGGTGATGACGATGGAGAGGGTGACGAAGATCATAGTGAAGAGCAGGTACTCGCCGGTCAGTGAGAGCAGCACGGAGATGCACAGCGTGATCTTCTCGCCACAGTCAGAGGGCAGGTGGAAGACCAGCACGGTGAGGCAGGAGATGAGCAGGCAGGGGATGATGAGGTTGATGGTGTAGAAGAGCGGCAGCCGGCGGATGACAAAGGCGTAGGTGACATCAGGGTAGATCTCGGCGCAGCAGTCGTACTTCTTGCTGTTGTAGGTGCCCGTGGCATTTATGATGGCCCACTCGCCACTCTCCCAGTAGTCCTTCAGGTCCACCATCTGCTCCATTGGCTCCAGGTAGATCTTGGCCTTGTCATAGGTCCAGGAGCCAGACTTTATTTTACAATTCTGCTGGTTGAAGGGGAAGAAGGTGACGTCGATGCTGCAGGAGCTCCTGTAAATGTCGGGGGCAACCAGTGCACAGTGCCCATGGAGAAGAGGTGCGCTGTGGTCATGTGGGTCACCACAAACTCCCCATCTGCACTGCGGAGAGAAGACCAGCTGGGGGCTCTGCACACCCACCTGACCCACCCAGACTGCTGCAGAGAGCACCCTGAACAAGGCAGTTCTCAGCTGGCCAAGTGTCCCATCTTTTGCAAGGGTATAAAATTTCCCCAGAAGATGGATATACTGGGGTTTTCTTTTTCATATAACATTGTTTTAATTTCAAAAGTTGGAGTTTTGAAGAACACTGGAAAGTACCAAGAATTTTTAAAATACCCACTATTAACATTGTGATATTATACATGTCTATTCTACTGTCACGCAGACGATAATTCTGATGGTTTTGCATATTTGAGGTCACAGGGTGTATGCAGTTCCATTGCCTGTTTTATTCCTTTAATATTTTAGAGTGATAATTTTGAACTGTACTTTCCTAGCACACAGTGAGCAAGCAGCCTCTTAGGTAGAAGATCATGACTTTTCCACTTGGATCTTTTGTTCTTTGCTCAAGAGACCTAAGATTTTGGCTAGTGAGGAAACTTCCTGGAGTCCATGCACCTAACCTCAACCACTAGGGCCCCACTAGGAGGCAGCTTGGCACCAACAGGAGGCTGGATGGAGTGCTCAGGGAGGACTCAGCCAAGGGAGGGGAGGAAGCACCACAGCAGAGGGCCCTGCAGGAACAAGAAATAGCTGGGGCCAAGGAAAACCTTAACAGTGCTCACTGGGGCCACCAGGTGGGCATCATAGTGACTGTGGTAGATGAGGTTGGGGACTTCGTGGGAATGAGAATCCAAAGACCCACAAGGACTATGGGGACACTGGAACAATGGTGACCAGTCAGATGGGACTTCTTCAACTCCCCCTTAGCTTCCTATGGTCTATCCTAAAGTACAGGGAATCAGAATACAAGGGAGTTTCCCATGGATTAGTTCCAGGGTAGAGAGACAGACTGGCTGGAAACAGGAATTTTGAAAGAGAGTAACAAATACATCAGGCAAAAAGTCAAAAAGAAAGAAAGAAAAAGAAATTAAAGGCATTTTTGTCATTTCACATAGTTTCCACTAGATGGCAACATGCACCCATTTGGTGGAAGGAACAGTTCTATTGATTGGCCAGAGTGCAGTGCCTGGGTGGAGCAGATGTTTCTTTATATGTCTACGGAAGTTTGACTGGACTTTTCTTGTGAAAATCGAGTCTTAGTGGTCATGGCTTTATTGACAATCCTGAAATGTGAAGTTGTATCTGACCCTAGGACTTTGCTCATATCGCTGCCAAATGCTCAGGAAGCAGAAACTAGAATGTTCCTGGGTGCCAGCTCCTGGGTACAGAGCAATGGGGTGGGGATGTGAGTCAGCAAACACAGGTACCTGCAGTGTCAGACCTGCCAGGTCACCCAGTGGCAAGTGTGTGTTTACCAAGATGGCTTAGGTGAGAGGGCGCTGGGCCTGCCCAGGACCAGACAGTGTAAGGAACTGGTGTAAGGAACCACTGACCTCTCTGGAGGTCTAGAAATGGACTCTCTCTCTCTGTTTTATTGTTCAAAAATATCATTTCCATGGTAGGGTCTGAGGGATTGGGAAGTGCTGGGTAAGCTAGTTTCTTTGCTGCAGAACTTAAAACAGCATTTAAAACGCTATTGTGCTCTGCTGGCTTCTAAAGCCCTTGTCAAGGGATGACAGACATACACTGTGATCCAAAACCATGACCACAGAACCTTGTCATAGCTATTCATATCTTAAGGAAGCAGCAACCTGCTTTAGAAAATGGTTTTAGACAATTATAACACCTTCTTTTAAATTTGAACTTCTTAACTTCACAATGAAGAATCGCCTGATACCAAACATACTAATAAAAATATAGATTTCTATTTCTCCTGGGATTCTCTATAGACTCCTCCCCCACCCCCGCCCTCCAGCTTCTGTTAGCTTCTAGTTGTTAGGGTGAGATTGATCCTTTGGGTCTTGAATCCAAGGCAAGTATAAGAAAATATGATTAAAGAAAAATCATACCCAGTGAATTTGTTCTTCAAAGGTGCTACTATAGGATGCCACTTACCTGGTCAGACAATATTGCCATCCTCTAAAATTTCAACTCTTAGGTGTTTTTAGAGAGTCTGAACCACATTTTCCAAAGGATACTCAGAGTTGGAAAATCTGTCCCATATCACCGTGCTACAAATGAATACATCTTCAGTGCCCAGTAAATGTCGGTGTGTAGGAGGGAGAGAACAGAATGAAAGGAATAAAAGAATACAGAGGATGGGGTTCTCTGCTAAGCATTGAGAGGGAAATGATGAAGCCCTCCCCTTTACCATCCCTCCTGGTGATCTTTCCAAGGCTCCATGGCTTCCTACTTGTTGTAAAGGACAATGCCAGGGATCCAGATCATCTCTGAAGGGACCCAGAGGGAGGGTTTTCAGTTCCAACCAACATTTTGGGGAACGCACATCAAGTTGGGGCATATTACTGTCCTCGGGCATGTGGTAGTAGGTTGAATCACATTCATTTTACAGATGAGGAAAATGAGGCTCAGAGAAGCTGAATAACATGCTCAGCATCTCAGGCTAGTCAGAGGTGGTGAAGGATTGATGGCCTAGGTCCCACAGCAGTGTATGTCCTCACCTCCTGCCCAGCCCCTGGCCCAGGTGACCAGACCATGGGGACAGTTGCAGTGACCTAGGTTCTAGGCCTACCCCAACTACACACACAATACCTTCCTTGCTCTGGTCCCCAGTTGGCATATCTGTAAAGATGAGCCTCCTGACGCTCCAACAGCTCTGGGATGAACAGTATCCACTCAGAGCCTCTGGACCAAGGTCTAATTTAAACTAAGTAGCTGAAACACCACACCCCAACACCATCTGGGGCCCCCTGGGGGACAGGAATTACAGAAAGGGCACTGGAGGATCAGGCACCCATTCAAAGGACTCAAACAGAGATGCCAATCAACATTCTGGTGGGTGTGGCTCTCTGCATGTTTACCTCTGCCCAGGGACAGTCAGGTGCTGGTAGGGCAGGGCACCAGCTCCTCTTTCTCACATTCTACTGCCACCTCCATGTCAGAGGCCTTCAGAGCAGAAGAACAGAGCAGGAGGGGTAGGAAGGGAGGGAACACACTGGGGTTCTCATGAGACCTGTGCTCTAATGAGTCTGCCCTAGGAGTGGCATATCCAGGAGGGCCACATGCTCTTTGGCTGTCCTTCCACTGAGAGGTGGGGTCTATGGTCCCTCCCTGAATCTAGCTGGACTCCTATATTGCCCTGACCTACAGAATATGGCAAGATGGATGCTGAGCCCATTCAGGCCATCAGAGACCAGCAGGTTCCGCTTCTCTCTGGGGACCCTCCTTCTGGGAGCCCTGAGCCACAGGTGGGAATCTGACTTCCCTCCTGGAGACACCGCAGGGAAAGACCCCGAGAGGTCCTGGGCAGGGCCAGGAGGCCAGCCAGGCCCACCCTTTCACAACTTTCCAAACACCCCTGCTGTGAGTAAAGTTTGTCCTTAACCCTTCAGAACAGGACAGCCAGCAGCCAGATGCTCCCACGTAGTCACCATGCAAAGCAGAGGAAACACTCAAACTCCTGACCATGAAACTGAGATAGGAAGCATCCAAGTGGCTCTAGTTGGCGAGCTTCGGGTTTTTCAGGCAACACAAACAGGGACACTCAGCGTTCTTTGGTAGAAGGAGCTGAGCCAGGCACTTGGGTGCCCTCATCACTGGCCCATCCACACCCTGCTTCTCTTTTCCTCAGCTGTAAAATGAGCAGAATGAGACCTCCCTGGGGTTTTGGTGACAATGCAGCCTGTCCTCAAGCAGCAAGGACTATGAAATGTCCATTTCTAAGAAAGGCATCTCTGGATCTCTGGTGACATGTCCAGGGAGTGGACTCAGAGCCTGGCCATGCAAGCAAAGTCCTCTGGAGAGGCCACTTGCAACCAGATAACCCAAGTAGCAGGTGTTCACCAACCTTGAATGCAGCAGCTTGCCCCTGTCAGGGAAAGGTACAGGGAGGGGCGGGGCGGGGCCCCTCGATGACTGTCCCCTCCCTGCTGGGAGAATCCTCATCTGCCTCAGCCAGACATTGGTGGTCATCATTTGGTTCTTCTCTCCTGGCCGGTAAGAGGGAGAGGGCAACAGAATCCAGAGCACAGGGTGAGAGAGAGGGGCTGCCGGGACCCCCACTCACAGGAAGAGCCTCTGTGTGGCACCCAAGCCCAGCATCCCTCCCAACACTCCCCTGGACTCAGATTCTTCAGGGTCACACAAGAAAGCCCTCTGCTGCCCTCTGCTGCCCTAGAAGGGGATCTGGGCGAGAGAGGGGAAGGGGCTGTGGCAGCCCAGGAGGAACAGGCTGAGGTCCCCGCTGTAATGGAGATGGGCTGGGGGGCTGGGACTGCAGGGGGGACCCTGGGGAAGGGCCTGGGGTCTGGAGGCTGATTCTGAGGGGCCCGGGATTGGGAGACGGTTCCACCACATCAATGAGCTGGGCAATGGACAGTCCAAAGCCCACGATCACCACATTTGAGGTGTTTGGCACTAGCCGTGCCCAGCAGTTATAGCCCCTGAAGAGGTATTTGAAGAGGCGGTACTCAGCCTGGGTGTGGGGGCCTGGCTGAGCCAATGCTGTGGGATGGGAGAGAAGAGGAGGGGTCTCCAGAAGCCAAGGAGGCAGCGGGCATCCGGCTTCCCATCAAAGCAGAGGCCGCCATCTGTGTGAGCTTCAGCTTGCTCATCTGTCAAGTGGGATGTGAATCCAGATCCCACTTCAAACCCTGTGGAGGACTCACTATGATAATGTTCATCAGAGCTGTGAACAGCCCCGAGGCCACAGTGCACTTGCTCATGCTGGTTGTCAGTACTGGACATCAGTACCTGTGTGATATTAGATAACAAAGTCAGAGTGCTGTGGCAGGGAGTGGGAAGATCCAGCCCAGGTCCCAGTTAAGCTGCAGGGAGGGGACTTGCCCCATGACAGCAAGCCTGGTGGTGAGCAGCGTTCGTTCCCACCCAGTCGTCAGAGGAACCAGCAGTGCCAGCCGTAGCCCTCGCCACTGAGGGCAACTCCCTGAGTTGTTCCTAAACCCCTGGCACTTGCCGCCTCTCATCAACTAGGCCAACCACTGTCGATGGGTCTCTCGGGGGATTTTCAGTACTCTGCCAATGGCTTTGGCACACCAAGGCTCTGCCACTGAGTGAGTGGACAGCTACTGCTCCAAACCCAGAACCGCAGTAGCTCCAGCTGGGACAGAAAGCCCGGCAAGGACAATAACCACCACATGTGTGTCCTGGGTGCCTGCTGTGACCCAGGTGCTAGGCACAGGCTTTCCTTCTGTCCCCACAATAGCTCTGGGAGGTCCGCAGCACTATTTGTGTTTTGCAGATGAGCAACACTGAAGCTAGGGACATTCAAGGTGACACAGCTGTTAATATCAGCACTGTGACAGCCCCTCCACCTTCTCCCTGTGGAACCAGGCACCAGCCTATGACCTCTAACATCTTTGCAGCCTTGAGGACTGCAATGAGCCCACCTGCAGGATATCCCCCCACCTGGCACGTGAGCACACAGCACTGAAGTCCCAGAGATAAGGCAGCCACTCACCTGCTGGGAACAGAAGGGGCCACCACAGGCCAAACTTCATCCAGGGTAGCAGTGAAGAATGGGAGGGGCCCATGGTCTCAGAGGAGGGTCTGGCTTCCCCTGCACATCCAAAAGAGGGCAGGTACAGCTTGCTGTGGTCTAATCTGGCAGGATGTCACCAAGCTGGCATGGCAGAGGGCCACTGGATTCTGCAAGGCTCCTTCTGCTGAACCTGATCAAAGCCAGAGAAGGACTCCTGAGTCATGTCTCCTCAGCACTCCACAGAGTGGTGCAAGGCCTTCCAGGAGCACCGGGCTCCTGGACTACCCCCAGCTTGACTGAGGAATCCACGTCTCCCTCTTTCCAGAGTCAGCCAGCTGCTCTCCCTAGACAAGGCTGACCTACCAGGGGGCACCAACGTTCCCATCACTCTGGCTTCAGCATCTCATCTGTAAAATGGGGATAATTGCACAAGCTAGTCAGCAGAAGAACACAGGTACCAGTCACAGTAGCCTAAAGGTGGAAATGACCCAACGTCCACCAGCTTATAAAGAGATGAAAAAAGCCATTGGATGGATGCGATGGAATGTGATTCAGCCACAACAAGGAATGAGGTGCTAACATGGGGCCACCACGCGGAGGAAGCTGGGAAACAGCCCAGACCCCAAGAGGCCAGTCACAGAAGCCCTTGTAGGATGAGGACAGGAAACTCCACAGAGACAGAAGGACAACCAGGAAGTGGATCTGGGGAGGGAGGGTGGCAAGGGATTGCTTAAACATCACTAGGGGGTTCCTTTTGGGTAACAAAAAAGTTCTGGAAATACACAGTGGTGATGAATGCACAATTCTGGGAACATTTCTAAAGGGGGACTTCTATGCTATGTGAAGTATACCTTGAAAATGCTGTCATTAAAACATACACACCTTCTGGATTAATAAGAAGTAGCTACTCTCAGGCCATGAGGACGGTGGTGTGTGCAGAACACAACAATGAGATGGAGGCAGCATCAAGAACAGTGAACTGCTCGACTTGTCGTGGCAGCGAGAGTTGGGGAATGCAGTATTTTAAGTCTATATATTATTGTATGTCCTATGTGGTTTAAAACTTCTCACTAAGGTAACATGTTAAGTATTACCTTTAAAGTGGGTCCATTCATGGGCTGGGATTGTGGCTTAGTGGTAGAGTACTCCCATAGCATGGGCAGGACCCGGGTTCAATCCTCAGCACCACATAAAAATAAAGGCATTATGTTGTCTCCATGTACACACACAAAAATGTTGGCCCATTCAAATTAGTTTTATTTTTAAAGAGCTGTTTTTATTGGGAGAGAAGATGCCCTCTGCTTGGGTACACTCTGTGTATGGGGTGCAGACATAACATTGAATTTCTGCACAAGCTGTGGGAGCAGGTTCTCCTTTGGGGATGGTGAGAAAGTTCTAGAACTAGATAGTGGTGATGGGTGTAATGGTAAGTTTTATGTTAAGTGTATTTTAAACACAATTTCTAAAAACAAACAAACAAGAACAAGGATAAGAGAGTGCTTTAAAAATGTAAGCCACCTCGTGCATGAGGGAATTAGAATAACCGTTATTGGAGGCATGAAGCCACATTCTCCTTCTCAGCCCTCCTTGTCCCAACATCTCAGCAGTGAGTCCAGACATCACCCATGATCTTCTGCTTCTCCCCAAACCTGTCACACTGCTCCCTTCTGCCCTCTTGGCAGGAAAGGAGAACTGGCCTGGAGCTTGAAAATGTGGGTCTGGGTCCTGGCCAAGTCACTAGGCTCTGCTGGGCTTTTGGCTTATCCTTCTCCTGCCCTGCCTACCTCCAGGACAGGGGCAGGGAATGAGTAGGATAGTTGTGTTCCTGGAAGCTCCCAGCCCTGTGGTGGCTGGGCTGGGCATGCTGCTACTGGGCTTGTCAAAGCACCAGGGCCCAGTGGCATCACACAGAGACAGTTTGTGCCAACTGGGAAAGAGAGGGTGGGAAGGGTTTGAGGAGAGTGTCAGTGTCCTGCAATTTCTGGGACTTATTTATTGCAACAGGCTCTTCCAGGGTGTGTTTTGGGGCAAAAGGCCTCCCCACATCAGTTTCCCCAGGAGGTTTCAACCTAGAGACTCACTAGAAAGTGAGATTTACATTTGTCCCCTGTTCCTTGAGAGAATGCTGCCCCTTACCACCAGCCACCCTTACTCACCTGGTGCCACACTACCCCACTGCTGTCCTGGGGTTTCCTGCTTCATTCTACCTCTCTTAGAGGTGACTGATTCCTTCCAGTCCCCGAAATGGTTCCCAGAGGTGGCTGCTCTGGAGAGCTCTCCCAGAAGGGGTCTCCACATGGTAGGGACAGGGGTTCTTGGGAGCTGCCTCCCACAACAGCCCCAGGCTCAGATCCCTCAGGAGCTGCTCTGTCCACACACCAGGTGCAGTGGTACAGCTGCCCAGGTTCCCACAGGAGCACAGCTTCATGTACTCACCAACTAATCATCCCCTGAGTGCCACATAAGGTTTGTGCAGCACCCACCCACCTGGGATTGGCAGCTTCCCTGACCCTGGTGAGCAGAACCGCTTTGTCCAGGGTCTCTAGCCCTCACAGGGGACTGTCCCCCTTCCTCCAAGCAGACCCTCTGCAAATAAAGCAGCATAGTTGGGCTCTTTCTAGGGAAAGCTCTGGTTGCTGTCCTGCTCTTTCCTCTTGTAACCGTTTCTTCCAGGTACATATAGATCACTTGCTATCTCAGGGATTAGAAGCCATTTTACTTGTCTTTGACACTTTTCCACACTTCCCAAGTTTCCAACCATAAGATACATCAGTTACTTAATACAATAGTGCGTTTGTTTGCTTGCTTTTATCGTCAGCAATGCCTGCTATGCTTGTATATGTTCTCCCTCAATCTCATGGGGAAAGGGGGCTCACAAAAAATCATGTAAACTCCATCCAAACAGAATGCAATAACCCAGGTCAACTGTCGGGAAAGGGAAGCCACCCAAGCTCAGATGAATAGATACACAAAACGTGGACTGTGCATACCATGGAATATCACTCAGCCTTTTAGGAAGAAAAATTCTGGTACCTGCTACAACATGGATGAAATAAGCCAGACGCAAAAGGACAGATACTGTACAATTCCAATTACACAAGGGACCTGGAGTCACCAAATGCACTGAAATAGGAAATAGAATGAGGGTTGCCTGGGGCTGGGCAGAGGGGAGATTAGGAGTTGCAGTGTGGAAAGATGACAAGGTTCTGGAGATGGATGGCAGAGCAGCCTGGATGGACTCACTGCCACTGAACTGCCCAGTGGTTAAAGTGGTAAATAAAAATCACAGTCAGCTGTGCTCACCTGAGATTGCCTTAGCTGAGGGTTCCAGGCCTCTCATGCGGCCCCACAACTGGGCACGGTCTGCAGAGGCTTCTGGAGAAGAGCGGAAATCCCTGCTGTGAGCTGGCTCCTTCAGGGTGAAGGCTGGGTCTCTCCCCAAGTCTCCAGCCCACACCCGGCTCCCCAGACACCTTTTGCCCTGTGAGTTCTAGGTACACAGAGCGGAAGTACCAGGGAGGAAGAGGCCCTGGGAGAGTGGATGGGGGAAGCCAAGGCTGGCCAGGGAGTTTAGGACAAGACAACAGAAGACATTTACTCTCATAATCAAATTGTTTGCTTTTTATGATTTATCTCTCCATGACCTCAACCTTTACCAGGACCAAGGATGTGCTTGGTAACAGGACAGAGAACTGAGCTACTTGACCCCAGAGGGACACAGTGGACACAGGAAGAAAGACAACTCTGGGTTCTCATCTGCTCATCCCCACCTGCTGCCGAGCTTGATAATATTCATTTAACCCCAGTGGTTTCAGAGGCATAGAGGGAGGCCCAGGTGCCCCCAGGCTTCCCTTCCAGGCTTTAAACAATTCCCCATGTTGGGAAGTCCCTCCCTGAGTTTGATTCTGGCTAAGCACCTGAGAAGCTTGAGTAGAGCTGAGCTAAGCCACCAGTGTCTAAACTTCTTTACCACCCTGGGGAAGCAGGTGGCACTTCCCCTCTGTTCTCTGTTGTCTTTAGAACACCTGACAACCACAGATCAACTTTCTCTTCCTTTCTCCTCTTTCATCCTCTCTACCTTGGAGGATCTCAAGTGTCCCAGGCCCTCCAAATTCATCTTGGGATGTCAATGTTTACATATCACCTCACCCACACTCTCACCACCTACTGGAAGTTTTTTGTTGTTGTTGTTTTGTTTTGTTTTGTTTTGTTTTGCTGGTTAAAACAAAGAGGAATTATAAAATGCAATTGCTTACAACTATCATCACACAGTCATGATAGTTTTTCTTTTGAAGTTAGAAAACAGGGCTAGGTAAGTGCAGAAAAAGAGGAGGCCAGGGTCCCTTTGGTGCTGACCCCTAAAGGTTTTCCTGAGAACAGCTTGTTTATGCCACTTGCAGGTTCACAAGGCATTTCTGCAGCTTTGGGCTCACCCCACACCCAGGGGTGTGTGGAGAAGAGACATTACTACCTATTACAAGTCAAATAAAAAGCCACACTCAGAGAAGTTGGCTGATTTGTCCAAGTCCACATAGTTTAAAAGTGATAAAACTGGGATTCAAACTCAGGTCTTTAGCTTCTGAATTATAATGTGGCAAAATGCTCCTCAAGAAGTGCAATTTGTGTGAGAACTTGCCTGCTTTCTATAACTCCTGGCACCGTGACTGCTATTGCTAAGCCACTATCAAAACTGAGATCCGTTGGAGATGGTGAGAAAGGACAGGTGCCCATCCCAAAGTTGGGCTCACCTGGATCCAGGGTGCTCCATGTGCAGATTACTAACTCTTTCCGACCAATATCATGGCTGAAAATTCCACAGTTATAATCTGTTTCACCTTTTAACTAAATGCATTAAATAAAAGAAAGATTTTTCCCTTATTAATGAGACTAGGAATCCAGGCATAGTGAAATTGCATCATTTAGAGACAAAAGGAGAGATACTTGGACTCTCTGCAAGAAGTGCAAATGAGATACCACTGACTCTAGAGGATGTATTCCTGCAACATGCCTCAAATTTGCATCCTTTATAATTAGCCCACAATGATAATTTCATTAATTTGTCACCAGAAACCAAAGTGGAAATTGTTCCAGGTAATTGACAGTAATTAGAGTCAATTTCCACAAAGGTATTTAAAGAGAAAGAGCTCTGGACTCTGACCCTCTCCATGGCTGGAATGGCAGCTTTTTTTTGGTTGTTGTTGGGGGGCGATCACAGTGCGGGTTACATTCCTATCTGTAAGGTCTGGGTAAAAGGGATGCACAGAGAAGCCTTTGCATAAAAGATGGTGTGGGCCAAGTGCTCAGACACCAACATCCCCTTCAGGCTGATGTTCATGGTATCTTTATTTCTCCCTCACACCCCCACACTCCATGCAGCCTCTCTCACTGCCCTGGATCCTGGTTCCATTAAGTCAGCGTAACTTGAATCCTATTCCCCCGTCCATCTTCATCCTACAGCTGGTTTTCAACTTCTCACCCACTGAGCCATGTTCTGAGCTTTTCACAAGCACCCCTTCCTCCCAAAAGTCTTCTTGGGTCCCCCAGTCTCTCTCTGCCATCCAGAAGGCCCACACCTCACCCCAAGCAAGGGAGTCCCAGCTCTTGCCTAACTGGCAATACCATACCCCAGAGGAAACTCTGTGACTGGAAGAAATGACACTGTTTCACCTTCCAAACAGAGTTCTTCAGGGATAGCATACCTCTAGCTTTGATATCTGCTCTGCATCACAGAGGTTTAACCTCTCAAGGACAGGTACACTCTTAAAGGTCATCTTCACTTCCAGCCTCCCATTTGGGAATCCTCCCCACCTCCAGCCTCCAGAAATCCCAGTGTGAAGGAGTTGCTACCTCCCAACTCAGTAAATACCACTGGTGGCTATTAAGCTTCATGTAAGATTTATAGAATATTTACTGCATGAATAAATACATGAGCAAAAGAGTGAATGGTAGAAATAAAGACATAGAAGCAGATACCTTAAAGCTGGTGCTCATGGAACTCAAATATCCGCAGCAGCTCAGAGGCATTATTGCTCACACAGGGCTTTGAACAGCCCCAACAGGACAACCAGGAGGCTAAAAATTTTCCCAGGAACAGGCAACTTCTGCCACTCAGACATGACCCCCTCCCAAACATCCAGGAGCTGCTAGTATTCCTGTGAACCCACACCCCAGTCTCCCCCTATGCACAACAACCTTTGCTTACCTGTGGTCACAGAGGAAGAGAGGCCATTCGAGAGATGCAGAGAACCATTCTAGTCTGGAGATTCAGAATAGCTGACAAAGTCCCCCAGAAGCAGAGCAGCAGGGGCAGAGTGGAGTTCAGTCACTTCATTTCATGGTCAGATGAGGAAGCTTGGGAGTTAGGTGACATCTTGTTGGACTGGGGGAGATTTGCTGGACGGTTGGCATGGCTTCCTTGGGATGGCTGGAAACTTCTGCAGAGTGATCAGTCTTCCTGGGCTGCCAGCTCTGGGAGCCAGAGAGCTTCATGCAGGTGCCACTGTAGAGGGCATCCTGGAGATCCAGCCCCAGGGCACAGCAGGTGACAACTCAAACTGGACCCTGGCAGAGTAGCAATCCTCCATGTGCAGCCTCTCTCTCTCTCTCTCTCTCTCTCTCTCTCTCTCTCTCTCTCTCTCACACACACACACACACACACACACACACACACACACTCACACCCTCTCTGGAGGGGAGGGGAAGGATCCTGTGACTGTTCAGCCTGTATCCAGTGGGGACAGAGGCAGCTTTGCAGGGTCTATGATGCCTCGCTTCCTGCTGAGGGACCCTCCACCCAAGAGCCACCATCTGCACTTCCTGAGCTTACCCCAAGTGAGTCTGCTCTGGTCTCCAGTCTGTCTGTCATAGAGTAATAGATTTTTCAGTAAAATAGGAGGGAGGACAGAGCCACGGAGCCACCCATTCTGC